GAGTTGAAAGTGGGTGACAAAAAGTGCGAACACACAGACACACAGACACACACACACACACACAGCTCTTCCCAATATGCGTTTTTGCAATTTATATATATGCAAAAATGCATTTAAAAAAATGATTTTTTCAGTTATATTCTGTATACTAATTAGAGACATGCAGAGCAGAAAGGAATGGGCTAGCACTGACACAGGCGTGTGGAACTATATCAAAAACATCATTAACAAGGGATATTCACGCTGACAGCCCGGTTGGTCTTGGTACATTCTGCAAAATGTGTCACTTTGGCATAAGTTAAATAATTTTTTCTTTAAACCATAAACGATATCGCTGCATCCCGACAAAAAGTTAACGGCAGTAGGAAGGAGTATGCAGCGAGCAGCGTAAGTTGACGGTTGTGAGAGAATAAAGAGCAGAGTATGGGAGAGGAAAGTCATTAAAACAACTCATCATGCATTGTCTGTAAGTGGCGCTGTCCGCGACAACAAAACACACCATGGACAACCTGGAAGACTAAAGGGTTGTCATATACTTAGTAGTCATAAGTGAGATATAGGCACAAGTGGGAGCTAATTTCGAGTTTACGGGGTCCCTGCATCGGCAAAAAACAACATTCTAAAATCTCAACCTCCTAGCTCTTCTGGTTCCCGAGATAATGATCTCGCCAAAATTTCCACAGAGTAGTACGTGTGACCCAGACGGAGGTGCAAGCTGAATTTGAATATGCAGGATCGTATGTGAGTAAGGGACATTCTCCTAACATTTCAAGTCCTTGACTTTCATGGTTCCTGAGTAGAAAGTGCGGGACAAAACGCGCTTAGACATACAAACAGACACAAACAAACAAACACGCACAGACGGAGGCATGATAATATGTGCTTTGTTCAACTTGTAATGTAAACAAACTTTTTGCGGGTCAATGTCAAGATGCGATGAGTAGTTGAGTGATCATGCAACCGGGGAAAATAAGCAACGAAAAAATTGAAATTCAACATTTCAATGGCTCGCGCACAAAGGTTATTATCGTATAAATGATGTAAGAATCTGTTACATAATCTTTACCCTAATTTGAGAAATTACTCCATCAGATTTGTTCAACTGATTTCAACAACTGTGAAAAAACAGGAGGAAGGAGAGACAAAAAGACATGACCAAATAATAATGTGTTTTCTTTTTTTTTTTTTAAATTCCAGAAAAGCGCTTCAGCTTGTTAAACTCCTAACTGATTTGCATCAAACTGATCCTGGATGGAGGCT